AGAAAAAGAAACTCAAGTCCATATGGATGAAGGCTCTATATATAAGACCAGATTCTCTGAATCTGATAGAAAAGAAAGTAGGGATTAGACAAACTCATTTGCACAGGCAATTACTTACTGAACAGAATACTGTTAGCACAAGTACTAAGACCAACAATTAGTAAATGGGACCTCATGGAACTGAAAAGCTTTTGTAAGGCAAAGGACACTGTTATTTAGACAAAACAACCTCCTACAGAATAGGAAAATATTTTTACCAATTACATATCTAATATTGAGCTAGTATCTAAAATATCTAAAGAACTAATCAGACAAAAAAAGTAGACACAATGAAAACAATCCTCAGAGAGAAATTTATAGTTGTAGGTGCCTATAGTTAAAAATTAGAAAGAGCAGAAATAAGTGGCCTAATGAAAAAGCTGAAAAACAACTGAAAAAGCTGGGGGAAAAAAGATGGCAAGGAATAAGAAAAACGAGAGCAGAAATCAATGGTTCACAAAGCAAGCAATACAAAAAAAAATCAAAACCTAGGAATTGCTTCAGAAGATTCAACAAGACTGACAGACCCATGGCTCGACTGATAAAAAGGAAAAGATAGCAGAAATAGCCAGAATAAGAAATGAATAGGGGAAAATTACATCAGACAACAAAGGAATACAGAATATTATACAGGACTGTTTTTAAAGCCTGTACGCCATTAAGCTGGAAAACCTAAAGCCTAGTTTCAGCCAAACCGCCAAGATTAAACTATGAAGAAGTCCACCACCTAAACAAAACCATAATAAACGAGGAAATTGAAACGATAATGAAAAGCCTCCCAGCAAAAAAGGGGCCCGTGCCAGATGGATTCGCTGCATTCAGACATCCACAGTGAATCCTTCTTAAGCTATTAAGGACGACGAGGAGGAAAGGAAGCAGAATGAACAGAATGAATACTCACAATCGCTTCTCCGAAGCCATTATCACTGTAATGCCGAAACCAGGTAAAGACGCAACAATAAAAAAGAGCCAAAGAGCACCTAATAAAAATGTCCAGTACCAGACACGAAATTCTCTTTTTTGAGTTATTGACCAGGGCTCTCCAGGAAACAACCAAAACACGCAACCTTTTGCTACCGCTCTTCGGTGCGCTTAAGAGGTGGAATGCACCATGCACTCAGACACAGGGTTCAGAGATCTGGAACTGAACTGAGAGCCGCCTCCCTGAGTACTAGTTTTCATGGTATCAGAAAGTGCCATGCAAGCTTCCGAAGGAGGGAAACAGCCATTCGATCTAGCAATGTAGTCCAGAAACCCCAAACAACAGGAATGATACAACAACTCTATGGTTGCATTAGTCGCATTCATACCTTGGCAGTAACCAGCAGCTCTCTAATTGGACTTAAGACCCATACAACAAGTGAGAAATCGTGCCTGGTACTGGAAACCTAGCCAACTCCTCAGGGGTACTGAAGTTATGGATCTTGCAGGAGACCATACATTCACTATTTTATTAAACCAACATAATCTCTAACAACAATATAAACATCTATTCTTTGTACTAATTCTTAACTAAGAAAACTTCGCTTTGTGACAGAGACCACAACTGATTATAATGCAGAGTTGTGAAGCCAAGTCCCATTGGGTACATCTACAAAATACTCTGACACCTAAGACTCAAAGAGCACTGTGGAAGGGGGGCAGAAAGATTAACAGGCATGCGATCAAGGAGTTTCCTGGGAGACTGTTTCCTAGTAGAGTCGGAAGTTACACCCATCTAGTCCCGCCAACACAACACCTAAACACGAGCTTAACAAGGAAGACACCAATAGGCATTTGAAAATAGATGCGGGAAAGACCATGATGCTTCAACCCTACACAAATCACTACAGAATGTAACACGATTACTGTTGGTCTTAATAATAAAAACACAGAGTCAAATTTTAGGGGTATGAAAGCTGAAAGATGAGAGAAGCAGAGAAGCCAGTCACTAGTGCTTACCTCTACGAAATCCTCAGACTCAGTGTGGTGTCTTGTCCTCATACTGAATGCCTTCTCTACAAAGCCTCAGACTGAATCCTGAGCTCCTGTCTCCTCCTGACTTATATTCCTCTCTCCACCTAGCCATATCACTCCTGTCTTCTCCTCCCTAGTGCTGGGAATAAAAGTATATGATCCCAAATGCTGGGATCAACTTTGTGTGAGCTACCACCATGGTCTGGTTCTATTTCTCTTTTTAGACTGGATTAATTTTGTGTAGTCCAGGGTGGCCTTGAACTAACAGAGATCCATCTGCCTCTGTCTTCTGAATCCTGGGATTAAAGATGTTTGCCACCACTGCATGGCCTCTACAGCTAACTAGTGTGGCTAACTCTGCATTCTAATCTTCAGGCAAGCTTTGTTGGTTAAAGCACAAACAAAATATCACTACATAGGCTACTAGGGAATGCTAAGAGTGGGAGAAATAGTCTTCCCCAGAGAAGGCCCACCATTTGGTTATAGAGTGCCAAAATGTTCAGCCCTGAATACACACATATAAACATCATACAGACTGAATAAGTTATAATTAGGTATATATATATATATATATATATATATATATATATATAGAGAGAGAGAGAGAGAGAGAGAGAGAGAGAGAGAGGAGAGAGAGAGAGAGAGCAATTAATGAAAAAGGAGTCCATAAATGTTAAAAAGAGCAAGAAAGGGAATGCGGGAGAGTTTGGAGGGCAGGGATAAATTATGTAACTGTATTTTAATTTCAAAGATAAATACAAAATAGAAAGTTGTAGATTTTCATATGGCATATTTACACATCATTTTCTTTAGTTAACCCTTCTGCCCTGCTCCTTGAGCCACAGAAAATTTGGTTCAAATATAAGCTCTTTGATGAAACAATCTGTCATTCCCATAACTAGACTCAATGTCTCCATGTGACCTATGCCTGTAGATTCTTTCCCTGACACTGTAATACTATCACTAAACACAATCTGTTTCAGTAACTTATTTGCAAGTAAATGAATGGAACTGGGGATCATGTTAAACAAATTGAACCAGACTCAGAAGTCAAGTATCATGTATTTTTTCTTGTGTAGACTCTAGGTCTAAAAAAAATGAATTTAGAAAAGGAATTAACAGAAATTAAGTAGGAAATCAGTGCAAGAAGAGAGAATACAAGTTTGGGTAATGGAGGCATAAATTTAACTAAAGTATGTGGCATACATGTATAAGATATAATAACAAACCCCACCATATTATTCAGATAATGGACATTAATAGAATATATCTCCTTATATGTTACCACTTCCATATGAGACAAATATACAAAGAAACCCCTTCTGCCCTGTAAGGAGTCTGCTAGATTCAGCTGAAGCAGAGTAATGGGAGATGAGGTCTGGCCTGAATAAGTTTCAAGAACCTCAAAGATTTCAAAGCATAACCATGGGGTAAAGCATCTCTTTTGGTCTGAACCCTGTGCAAATAAAGATTCCTCAAAGTTGAGTCCAGACTGCCTTTGTTACCGTTTGTTTCTAGCTTCCAGGAACAGAAAGAGTAGAAAGCTGGTGGCTTATCCTGTGTTACCCTAGAACACAGTATCCTGTGGCACCCCTGGTAATATTAAACTCAGGCCATTCGTTTCATAAGACTACTAAGGAACAAAAGGAAGGCACTGTTAGAAACAGAAGAAGTGACAGCTGTGGGCTCTTGAAACTGTAAGTTACAGTTTTTCTCCTTATTATTAGATGTTTTAGTTTCCTCAAGGCCTTGTCTGTGCAGAGAGAATCCCTGGGTTTGGGTTTTCGGCTGCTTTGCATATAGCATCACCTTGGAGAAAATGATGGATTAGATCAAGAAAAATATATGTTAGATCCTTTTCTATGGACAGAAACTTCATACAAAATTGTGTGACATTTTCTTAGTTGACTGTGATGGCTAATTTTACATGTCAACTAAATTTGGCTGGGGTACCTTGATTTTCTTGGTACCCTAGATACTGCTGTGAAGTTGTTATTTTGATGTGATTTGCAGTTTACTAAGACTGTCCGTGACTATATTTTGTTTGAAGGTCTATTGAAAAATAAGGAATTCTGCCTCTGGATCACTTTGAACTTAACAGCAAAGCATCAGATTGTTCTTTGGGTTCCAACCTGCTGTTCTACTACTTGGTTTTCTACTTGTTAGGCCATAACAATGACATATGAAGTAAGTTAATTCTTTAAACTATATATACACATATATTTGTATGTATATGTATACTATTTCTCCAGAACTTCCTAATGCAAATTTAACATTTCTTTGAAGTAAGATATATTATTTTCCTGTAACAAACAATATTGATTGATCATAAACATGAAACCTGTTGAATAGCTCATTAATTTATCTAGTATTGCCCAGATAAGTTTAGTCACTTAGGAAGTTTTCCTTTTTCTTTCGTATGAACGTATGGCACAAATTGAAATTGTCATTTGCCTTATTCTAACTACTCCATGATTTAACTAATAAGGAAGAAAATGGATTGCTCATGTATTAGTTTCATGCCCCAAAGTCGTTAACATCTGTATACAGTGGCTTCTGCTAATATTTCAACACTGGCATTTATCCATTCCTCCTGCATTGGCTCTGTCCTGCCCTGCCCTGCCCTTCACTCCATTGCCACAACACCGATTTATCTTCCACTCCTCTGCTTCTCTCTCAGAGCTTTAGGTAGGGATTAGCAGCCACTCTCCCTACATTATACAAGAATGTCCTCCTGTGCGTGTGTGTCAATACTTCTTTTGGTTGTTACAATTTTTCTAAAATACTATGTCTGATTTGTGGCTTGTCTATGAAGGTTTGAGACTACCGGATGGCATGCTAGTAAAGGAAGAGCCTTGCTTCCTGAACTTTCCTAGGGAGATGTAGACAAATGTCTGTTCACCCCAGATAATGTCAGATCAAAGGGACAGTCCATTCAAGTCTAACTTGGCGAACGAATGAATCTTCTGGGATAACTTAAGAAGCAGAGATAAATGTTTACTTACAAGAAAGTAGGTGGTCTTGGAAGAGCTGTATCACGGCTGTTGACGTCCCAAGTACTGTATAAATGGAACCCTTCTTTTCTCAATCTTCTATCTCAAATGCACTGGGGCACCTCCGGAGCCCAACTGAATACTGAGACAGAAAAAGCACAGAAGGGAGTGAACAGCTGTAACATCAGGTGATTGTCTGATGACATCACTCCTTTCTATGATGTAGTGTTAAAAGCAACAATCCTGTGACTGTAATAATGGTGGCTAACATTTCAAGAAGGTAATGGCTATGATATGTGCAGAGGACAGCATTCTACAGTGCTTCATTCACCCTTCCTTGGGTTTTACGTTCGTTTTGCTCCATTCCCTATGAAAAACCCTGCATTTTGAATTTTGATGCAGATGAATGATTGTTTTCGTCCATTTAGAGTTGGCTATTGGATTGCTACATTATAGCAGTACTCTTTTATGCTCAGTAGCAATTTGACTAATTATGAGCCTTTGAAATAACTGGTGCCCATTCAAAAAGAAGCTTCCTTGACCATGATTCAGAGCAGCAATAATCGTTGGGCTTGAACATCAATGCTAAGAAAGCAATTAGGCAATTTGACAGGCATATAATTTCCACTAACCAAAACAAGAGCAATAGTTTCTTCTCTGGGACCTATGACCTCCTAGCTGTAGAATTTCGTATTACAGTACCAAACATGGGGCTTCTCACATGAAGCAGATCTTAAATCAGTGATTTATTCGGTATTCATATTTTCCTCCTTCATACCTCTCTCTCCTCTCAATCCCTCATGTTCCATCCCCAATCTGGCCACAAAATTTTTTCTATTTCCCCTTCCCAGGGAGATCCAAGCTTCCTTCCTGGGCCCTTCTTGTTCCCTAACCTCTCTGGGTCTGTAGATTGTAGCATGGCTATCCTTTACTTACAGCTAACATCCACTTATGAGTGAGTACATACCATGTTTGCCTTTCTGGGTCTGGGTTACCTCACTCAGGATAATTTTTTTTTCTAGTTCCATCCATTTGCCAGCAAATTTCATGATGTCCTTTGTTTTTTTTTTTTAAAAAAAACAGCTTAGTAATACACCATAGAGCAAATATATCACATTTTCTTTATTCAGTCGAGAGACATTTAGGTTGTTTCCAGGTTCTGGCTATTGTGAATAAAGATTCTATGAACATAGTTCACATATTATATGCACATACAGAGAGAGAGAGAGACAGAGAGAGAGAGAGAGAGAGAGAGAGAGAGAGAGAGAGAGAGAGAGAGGAGAGAGACAGAGACAGTGAGACAGAGGCACAGAGACACAGAGAGAGTATGTGTCTGTATGTGGCTTTGCAAATGTCACAGTGCATTTGTGGAAGTCAAAGGACAACTTGCAGGAGTTGGTTCTCTTCTATCATTTAGATCCCAAGTATCAACTTTAGGACATGGACCCAAGATCATTCCTCATGTTCCACTGCACTTCCCATCATTAGGCATCACCAAAGGCTCCTGATGATTTCCATACCCCAAAGGAGGTAGGCCTGATCTCATAGCAAAGAGGAACGGGGAAACAATAAAATGCTCTTTCTGCTTCAGTTGGATCTGACAGGTTGAATTCTGGTATTGAAGCAGGTCTCTGTTTCTTCAGTGGCCACAGCTTGCTGCTAATGTGTACTTGGATGGGGGAACAATCTCTACCCACAGGAGAGAAATGTATACAAGAAACTTTGGAGGAATAATTGAACAACTTCATGCCAAATTCTGTCCCTTTTGCCTGCACCACTCTATTTCCGTATCTGTCTACTTTTGACCATTGCCCTTGATGTTTCCTAAGGGCTGCAAAGCACAACTGGCTCTGGCATCCAACCAAGTCCACTTATTGAATGCACACTATAAGGGGAACAATAAATCTACAATTCTGTGACTTCCAGATACCAAATCCCCTACTACAGTAACTGCCACACTGGGAAAAGCCTCAATCTGTTTGCTTAACTGTGATGCCCTTGATAAAGCACTAAAGACAAACCAAAGAAGCAATCTGATTTTAGTCCAGTTTGCTGAACCACTGAGTTTACTGAGTTCACTTACTGCTGTGGGACAATGGTTTGTACTCTGTCAACTGTATTTTAATAAAACGCTGACTGGCCAGTAGCCAGGCAGTAAGTATAGGCGGGACAACCAGGTAGGAAGTAGAGGTGGGGCAACAAGAACAGGAGAATTCTGGGAAGAGGCAAGCTTGATCTGCAGTTGTTACCCAGCCACAGAAGAAGCAAAATGTGACTGCCTCACCAAAAAAGGTACCAAGCCACAAGGCTAACTTAAACAATATTTATGGGCTAATATAAGTTATAAGAATGAGTTAATAGTCTGACCTACTAGGCCAATCAGTTTATAACTAATGTAGACCTCTATGTGATTTCTTTGGTACTTAATGGCTGTAGGGCCATGCAGGACAGAAAACCTTAGTCAACAGAATGGCGTGCCAACATGGGGATGACCAAATCTCCTTAAAGGCCTGAGAGAGCTTGGGAAGTTATTCTAGACTGAAAAGAATAGAGTTAAACACAGCTTATTGGTGGCAGCATTTTCTCAGGTGGGCTTTGCTTGCTAGAGGCAAGCGTTCTCATTTAAGAGAGGCTTCCTGACCTAGCTTTAGCTGTAAAACCTTGCAGCTTTTTTAAGAGGTCCTGCCACAAAACACTTAAATGGTGTTGATGAAAAGCTGACCACATGTCTTTTGGTTTTTAGTCATAGCAGGAAAAAAGTCACACCATTTTAAAATGTTGGCTTTCTGGGCCATCCTGCCAGTACAAACTCTGACTCTTTCAGGCAGGAAGTCCAGCTACAAAGTACTTGAGTGTGGTTTGTGAGCAGACTGCTGCAGCTTGCTTGGTGACAGGGACCTTGAAATGCCATAGAGTTGTGGCAATAAACATGGCTCCAGCCAGTACATCCGCCATGAGGTTGGAATATCAGAAAGGTAAAGAATGGGCTGGATTCAGCCGTCAAAACTACGGGTTTAATTCTAGACATATCACTTAACAAATTAAAGACTCATGTGGTCAGAACAAGAGAGATATACAGTAAAGAGAGATTCAAAGCCGAAGAAAACCTCTAACTATTTACAGTGTGTTAAAAATATATGCAGGCTTGGTAGAGAAAAGAAAAAGGTTAAAGTCCTTAAAATAAAAAAAGAGAGTAGTTGTGTGTGGTGGCACACACCTTTAATCCCCAACACTTGGAAGAGAGAGGCAGGCAGACCTCTGTGAGTTCAAGGCATGGTGACACATGCCTTTAATCCCAACACTTGGGATGCAGAGGCAGACAGATCTCTGTGAATTCAAAGTGTGGTGGCACACACCTTTAATGCCAGCACTTGGGAGGCAGAGGCAGGTAGAACTCTGTGAGTTCAAGGACAGCCTGATCTACAGAGGGAGTTCCAGGACAGCCAAAGATACACAGAGAACCTGTCTCAAAAAGAAGGAAATTGAAAGTAAAAATAAAAGAAATAACAGTTAAAATAAAGCCACATAAAGATGAAAAATACACAGAGAGTCTGGATACTGTATGTTATTATGTTCTCTTTGAATGGTTTGAATGCTGAGGATGGAGCAACAGGTGCCAAAAGATATTTGTTTTTAAATGTTGCTGAATTAATCCAAGGTAGGTATTTTGAAAATACCTTGACTTCAAAATTGAAGTCAAAGGGTATGTTACTTTGGAGAAGAGGTTTTGCTTTTGTTTCCACAGGAAATGAGAGGCTGTGGATTCATTCCAGGTTAAGAAAAATCAGGTTTGAGCAAGGAAGATCACCTGAGAAATCTCCAGTAGGAACAGATAGCCTGAATGTCTAAGTTTTACATCCAAAACAGATTCAAGACTGCTGCATGAGATGATCAAATCTTATAGGATACTTACTCAAGTCATGACTTGATCATAATTTTAAATTTTCTTTAGGTCCCCATAAGATTATCAGCATCCCTAATCAGCAGGAAGTGGCCTGGAAAACTATGCCCACATTACCAAAAATGGACTATGGATATTTGTCTTTGTTTAGAATGTTGGTTACAAGTTGTTATGGATAATGGTCAGGAGAAAAGCTAAACAATGGATATTAGATTCAGAGTTCTTGTTTCCTTAAAAGAGGGGGGGTACTGTGGGACAATGGTTTGTACCCTGCCAGTTATATTTTGATAAAACGCTGATTGGCCAGTAGCCAGGCAGGAAGTACAGGCAAGACAACCAGGCAGGAAGTAGAGGTGGGGTGAAAAGAACAGAAGAATTCTGGGAAGAGGCAAGCTTGATCTGCAGTTGTTACCCAGCCACAGAAGAAGCAAGATGTAACTGTCATGCCAAAAAAAGGTATCAAGCCATGTGGCTAACTCAAACAAGATTTATGGGATAATGTAAATAAGAGTTAGTTAATAAGAAGTCTGACATACTAGGACAATCAGTTTATAACTAATGTAGACCTAATGATTTCTTTGGTACTTAACAGCTGCAGAACCGTGCAGAAGAGAAAACCTCAGTCAACAACTTACCACAACATGGGTGAGGGTTTATGCACATGAATGAGTCCTAAATAATAGTGTTACCAAGAAATCCCATTCTAGCATGGGTGGAAACCACCTGAAATCTTGGTGAGTGAAACCATACTCTCCTAGTTTAACTCTGAGACCAGCTGCATCTAATTAGGGTTATGTCCAACTGGGCAGAAACATAAGAACAAGTACCTGGAATATCAGGTGAGGGTCTGATGACAATCACCCTTTCTGTAAGGGAATTTTCGTAAGACAATCTCATATCTCATGCAGGTATTCATGATTATTCTGAATTCAAGAGAGTAACAGTTATGCCATAACATAGAGGTCAATGCACCACCACAGTTTCTAAATATATCTGGAGGTCGCTTTAGCCTCTCCATTTAGGACTCAACCAAGTTAAGTAGAGGAGACAGTGTAAGAGCAGCTTCCAAGTTCCTTTTTTAGGGTCTGGCAGATTAATCTGTGCTTTAAAGTAGATACAACAGAAATACCATTTATACACATATTCTGGCATTTCTTGGAATGGGGGAAACATTCTATTCTAGAGATATGAGTTAAGGATCTCTTGTATATACATAAGTGGAAGCCATATTTGAGACCCATGTTCAGAAGGAAGTAAG